GCTCCATCTCCCCTGACAGCAGCACAGGGCTGCCTGTGCCCCGGGCTCCGTGCCCAACCCTGCTGCCGTGCCAAAAGCAGGAGCTCCCCAGTCCTCATCCCAGTAACCCCCTGCCCCATGGGGCAGAGGTGCCCTCTACCACAGGCTCTGCTCCCCAGCCATAAGCCGAGCCTGTTCCTAAGGGGATGAGGGTGGGATGGGGCAGCTGGCAGCACCCGCACCGTCCCCCCTCCCCAAATTCATCCCTGCCCCAGCCCCCTACAGCCCCCGAGCACAGGAGAGGACAGGGGCGAGGGTGCTGGCATGGCGTGTCCAGACCTCTGCTCCCAGGGACTCCCCGTTCATGGATCGTTGACTCAACAGGCCATAATGGCTCCATCTATCGGGGTCAATACGGGCGCCTTTGACACATGATAGACAATAATTGCTCCTGCTTAGAGACTTTTTAGTTCATGGATCATTGACCTGATGGGCTGTAACAGCTCCGAAGGAGGCTGCACACACACTCGACACCCCTGCGCTTTAACGCCCGCAGAGCGAGAGGCCACGTAAAACCACGACACGGGGCCAGGCGAAACGTGCTCTCCCCAAAAACACGCGCCCTGGCACAGGTTATCAAACGCCCCGGGGTGCCTGGAAGCTCTCCTGGGAGCACGGCCATGGAGGAGGTCAGGAGAAAAGGCCAACAAGATCCAGCATCCCTCACGCATCCAGGGATAGGACCAGGGTGCACAGGGAAGGGTCTGCAGGCTGCCTCTCCAATGGCAACTTCCAGGTATATGATTTAATGAAAGGCACAATAAGAAGTGAAACAATTAGAATTTCTGCCTCATTATCATGGTAATCTTATCAGTCGGATAATGAGGTATTAATGGAGATTTAATGTGCCTCTCATAACAGAATCCCTTGGAGAAAACACATAAGGAAATTGCTGTAAATCCACTTAATGATGGAAAGGTCCCCAAACACCATATTCCAGAGGATGAAAAATGCTGGATGCAAATGAGAGAGAATCAAGGTCAATAACACTGTAGGACTGAGCTCACAGCAGCACCACGCCGCTGTGCATCCGTCCCGGACCCGCCGCGCCGCCCCTGGGGCATAGGGTGAGGGGCGGGCGACGCGGAAAACGGATGCACAGCAGCTGCCGTGATCCTACCTGTCATGAGTATTTCTTAAGAAATAACTGAAATATAGTAATTTTGGACTTGACCGCTGCAATCGAGGCATCAAACCGCAGTGAAGGACCAGACACCGACCTGGCAGCTGTCCCAAGGTGAAGCCAGCTTCATGCTGTGGCAGCAGGCAGCAATTTTCCTCTCTCAAACCACCAGCGGAGCCAAACTGCACGATTAAAATAAATAAAAACAAGTGAAAAGCTGAGCGTTGAGCAGCCAAGTCGGCGGTGCAGCCTCTCCCAGTAACGGGATCTTGGGTTTTGCCACTGCCCGCTCCTTGTCGGAAAAAGGGTTTGAGGAGAGGACGCGGTGGCAATGCGGAATGGGAAACCACGGGAAGTCAGCGGGAGGCCGCTCCCACTCGCAACGACGTCTCGGGCACAACTGACGGCGTCGGAACCAGGCAGGAACACGAAAGCCAGGTGGTTAAACTGCTCTCCTTTTAATCAGTTTTTACAGTAACATTAATAATCACATTAGAGACACGATGGGTTTCCTGTATACAAGGTTGTGCAAGCTCGTTAATTTAGATTTAGAAAGGCTTTACCAGTTTCAAGGAGAGGCAGTACAGAGCTTTTAAACAGAGGTAAAGCACAATTAGAAGTACAGAACACACACTACTAACTCAGCAGAGATTAATTCTCAAGTAGTACAGGCTCGACCAAGTCACCAGCTGTCACCCAGACAGGGGTACTGCCCCCCTCAAAAGTGGCCCCCGTGTGCGGGTCCCCCCGCCACGCTGCCGGCCGAGGGCTGCAGGCTCCGTACCGCAGCACGGCCACGCAAGGTACGCCCGTGCCACGCGCACGCCTCAGCTTTGCTGCGGAACAGGTCTGCCTCCTCCCGCCACCCCCCTTTCTGGCCTGAGACACCCCACCTCCCCCCACCCAGCGTTAACCCGGCAGCGAGTTCTCCAACTTCCGCCACGGTTCGGCTTAACGGAACACGAACGGTTTCCGAGCGCCGCGAACCAACGCTGTGTGCACCAGAAACACACCTACAGGAAACAGGATGGTGCTCGTGGCTTTTTTCCTGAAGTTTATGGCAGTTACATTCAGCATTTGGTGGTGTAAGGTCTTCAGAACAAGACCTTTTACACTCAAATAGTTCATGGGCCGCACGCGTCCCAGTCCTCCTTCAAGAGGATTTTAAAGAAGCTTGAAAGAAAAATCTCATTTAGGTTTACGAGCAAAAAGGAACCTCCCAGGGATGAAAAAACCCAGCCTTTTCCTTCCCCTCCCCAAAAGAAGGACAGTACCGGCCCTGTGACACCCAGCAAGTCCTCAGACACGCCGACAACAGCGCTGTGGTCCAGGAGCGTGCCTGCTGCTGACCCCTCTCCCCTCCCCACAATGTTCCCTTCACCCCTCAGTGGCTTCAGTGATTTAATTAACGGAAAGCACCAAGTTTACAGCAACAGGTCCGCGGTCGGCCGGCACCTTTGGCAACAGGCCTGTCACTTCCGGTCCTCCGCGTGCCAAGGCCCCGCCAACGCCACCTCCCAGACAGGTGATATAGCACCCTCAACCACCACGTTACGGGGCCCTGGGGGGAAGCAGTGAGAGGGTAGTACGGGGAGGTGGTTAGCTCTCTGGAAAGCCCAATCCTACACCTACCCAGGCCACACGAAGGACTCCCAGAGTAGGCTGGAAACAAACAGCAAAGGACCATCTCGCTACGAAGACTGAGCTCACGCGGGGCTCACCGCAACACTGACTGGGCTCAAATAACCAAGTAATAACGGTAACAACAACAAAAAAAAGACTCCAGGTCTTTGAAGCATTTTTCTACGCAGAAAATCCAAGTGATGAAAACTGAAGGAAATGGTTCTTGCCCTTCCGTAAAGGAGAGGGGAGCCGAAAGACCCGACGGAGCCGATACACCCCGCCTGCCGTCCGCAAACAGAAGCGACGCACGGGGTCACCAACCGGAGCGTCTCTGCGCCTTTAAGGGTCGTACAAACACTCTCCTCGACTGAAACCCACACCGCAGGGCACACAGCACTTTCCTACCTTGCTCTTAACGTCTCGGATATTCAAGTAGTAATTAAACACGACAGGACACTTCAGGATGAATTCTATTGCTGCTAGATACGAGCTGGCCGTGTCTTCCAGGGCGTACTTGTGCTTCGCTGCTGGGTGTCACCGGTCAGGGCTGTGCTCGCAGGAGGAAGTTACATGTTCAGCACCAAAGCCCGTCAAGGCTAAATAACTGGAATATTGCAGAGCTACCGCAGTGAGGCAGAAGTTCGGTTCTGCTGAGTATTGCTCCTCCACACAACCGAGGCCCTAACAGAGGGCAAGTTACTCTCCCACCCCGTCGCCTGCGACAAATTTGGCCAAATATGCTGTCATGAATCCTGTGATAGAGCCCTATAAAGGGAGTTGCTGTAAGGACGCCTTGACAAGTAGCACAGCCACAACAAGCACTTGATCCCGTTCGTAAATGGCTCTCATCCCGGTTTTCCAACTCCTAGGGCTGTAATCATCAACACGCACACAAAACCAGCCTGTTCCGAGAGGGACGCCAGAAAGGTTTTGTTCTCTCTACCACTCGGACACCACGCTTCCGCACGCCCCGCCGTCAGAAGGGCATGGAACGCGCTGGGAAGAGCCAGTAGTAACCCTGACAGGACGAGCTAAACGCTCGCTGTCCTTTTCCTCTGCAGCTGGAGCTCCGAAGGACCAGCAGGCGCTCACAGGCAGACACCAACCGCCCCCTCCGCTCGGGCCACCTCCCTGGCGAGAAATCCATGGGGGGGTTGTGCATACAGACTTCTTTAGGGTGGTAACTGTCAGTTTAAGGGAAAGGTGGGGTGAGAAATCTATAAAGCACCCTGAACTGATGCCATGATATGTTTCATAAAGAACAGTTATATTTTAAAATACTTCATAGGAACAGTAAAACTTGCACTGCTGCATAGCAGACAACACGGAGAACATTTAGTAAAAACATTCACCGAAACCCCTGGCATATGTATTTAATGTCACTAATCAAAATATATATTACAGTCCAAGGATCTGTTAAGGATCTGTTTGGGGTTTGTACAGTATACACAATATTTCAGAAAAAAATATTACAGTAAGGTATTTTATTTCTCCTTTTTTATATTAGGCTTATCTATCGCAACGTACAGTCCCTCTCCTCTATATACCAACCCTCAAACACCCCAATGCCCTAGCCAAAAAGTGTTCAGCTATCTAATAAGCCCTGTCTAGTATAAATTCCAGTTTTAGAAACTTGAGTAATCTTAATTACATTTTAATAAATAGTTCAGTTTGCCCTTTTTCACCTTAGCCTTTCAAGGAAGTCCTTTCGTTACCAAAACTCGGTGTGTCACAACCTGTCAGAGGTCAGAGAGGCTTTTGCTTGTTTATTCAAAAGGATAAGAGTCCCAATATCATTGCAACGCATTAAATATAAGTATATGATATTTACACTGTCCTCTCGGATTTTAAATTTCGGTGAAGGACAATTGGGAACTAATGTCAGCTACGACAAACCTCCGGTGTGGCTGGTGTTTTAGTCATAAAAGGTGTATTAAGCTAGAAAGTACACCACGTGGTTGCCCTGACTCTTCTTGTTTCAGTTTGCTATTAGAAATTAAATGGAGTGAATTGTTCACGTGAGCAAGGGTTCAGGACAAGGGGTGGTGGGAAACGCATGAAGAATTTTCTGCGTGTTTTGAGATTCCAAAATACCTGAAAACCGTGGTCCCTTTTGCAGTGCCAGGATCTATAGGGGAGAAAAAATGCAGCCAAAAGAAGAGGAAAATCTGTTAAATTAATTTGATTAGTAAAGGTGTGTTTTAAAATGCCTCAGTTCTGTACAGTATTATACAAGGGAAGTCTCTTCTTCAGCTTCTGCAGCTGTGGTACATTCTTACGTACTGGCTAGCAGGCGGCCCACACGCGCTGTTGGGGGCTACTTGCGATCGTCGATCGTTTTAATGAATTCAACGGCCGCTGTGAACTGCATCCACCAGTACGATTCTTCTCCGGACAAACAGTTGGCATAGAAACTGCTGATGTACTGCACGGTGGAGAGCAAGCAAGGCGGGTTTGCCTGGGGGTTCAAGAAGAGAGAGATACTCGCGCCTTGCTTGCAAGGCTGAACACAAAACCTTACACGACACAGAACCACAGTCCCATCTGCACAGTGATCCGTGCACTCCGAGTACGTGACTACGTCACGTAGCCCTCTGCCATTCCACGTGCTCCGAACACGTCGGCCTTGATGAGCCGTTTTCCAAAAGGGAAAAGCGACTAGCAGGCCAAGAGGAAAAAGGGTAACACTGGCAGAACCTATAAAAACCACCAAGGATTTCAGCACATGGAACAGCCTGTTCCTTCAGCATCTTCTGTAACGGACCATTCTCCCAACACTCAGACATCAAACAGGGTCAGCAACGCAACACAAGTCTGCCCAGTCTCGGTCCCGAGAGAGGACATCAGCCAGGCACAGATGACAGATGCTGGCGGACACGCCTCAAGACTCCCACTCCACACACACCACCTGCACCCCCATTTCCTTGGTTCCAAAGGCAAAGTCTGCCTGGATTCAAGAACCACAGCAGTGGCCAGCACTGCTGATGTTTCTATCCAAACCTGCTGAATTAGGTCAGGTTTTGTGTCGAGCCTGCTCCCAGTTACTCAAACGCATTGGTTTTCTTCCTAAAATTCGCTTGCTTATTACAAGAATTAGCTGGAGTTTTGAGATCTTTGCAAGAGAACTCACCTTTATGAGGACAAAGACCAGAACAGGAACAAAATCATCTGCCCCAGGTACTGAATCTTCATTTGCCAGACTAAGCAGGTTCATGATGGTGGAACACATCCGCAGGATACACTGTACTTTGTCTCGGGGGGTTTTGTAAGCACTTATCGTGCGGATTTCAGACTGCGCAGATGGCCACGGTGCCTCCCGGAGATATACCTGGAAAAAAAAAACACCAACATGCTGCCACTTCTTGTTTGTCCAAGCTACTGCTGTGCACCACAGAGGCTCTGAAGGACCGGAGGCACAGGCAGGAGCAAGGCTCTGGAGAAACGGGAAGCTCTAAGTCAAGGGGATTCCATTACACCTGATGAAGGCGGTTTCCTGCTGTTATAATAAAAACTACATGCAGCCAGCACTCTAAGCACCACTCAGCTAATTAACCTGTAATCCCTGACTTCTCCGGTTCACCGTTTCCACGGAAGGCAGAGCTGCACGTCTGTCGTCTGTATCAGCAGCTTTATGAACACTCACCGTTTTGAGTCACAGGGTTCAAGTGCTGAACTGAGAGCTAGGAAAGCTGTGAACATCCACCCTGACAGACACCTTCAGCCTACCAACCTGCTTTCAGTTACCCTGTCAGCCATGAGAAAAGTGAAAGCACCGGGCAAATTCAGAGCTTTGCAAGGTTCCATTCATTCTGGCTGGTTTGGAAAGTCCAGTTACAGCTGTGGCATATGAATCACTTTAAAAGCATCAAGGATTCAAATCTTGCCTTTTGAAGCAAATCATCAGAAATCATCTTAGTGCAGTGCAATGTTAGTTCTTAAATCTTACTATCAGGACAGAGGGGGCAAAAATCAGAAAAAAGGAATTTGAAAGGATCAGTCAGTGATACCAAAGCATGGGCACAGCATGTTTTTCCTGCAGGATACTGCAGCTGTCAGCCAGAAAAGGAATGCTAAGTGTAAATCAAAACAACCCTCTCCCCATCCCAAACACCACCACATCCAGCACCTGACACACGTAGAAAAAGCGAAGGAAAGAAGTTACCTCAGGTATCTGAAGTGCTTTGTGGTTTGCAGTCACTACTTTGGATAACCGCTGTATGTGCTCGTGAAGGACCCTGAAACAGGCACAAAAACCAGGAGTGAAAAGCCAGCAGAGGCCAGGCAGCAGTTCCCTGGGGTTTCCCACTAGTTTTAAGCTGGAGTCTACAAGTCAGATCTTCAGGAACAATCGCGATGGTCCTACCGCTGACGGACACTAGGCCCGTAAGAGAAGCAGGGGGTTTTGCCACACAATCAAGTACGACCACTCAGCCAGCAGAGCATTCAAACAGCGTGTTCTAAAACACAACAAAAATGCCAAACACGTGGAAAATACTGTCCCCAAACCAAAACTGGAAGGAGTCCCGAAGCAGATTTTGATCATCCCCTTGGCATCCACACCTGACAATCTGAAAGTCTGTATCCCAAGTCATTACATTCCCAATTTTATTCTGTTCTAGCAGTTTGTTGCAAACACAAACTTGGCACACGATGCCGAAGCTCCTCCTTGGTCTTTTCCAAAACGTTCCGAAGGGAAACACGAGTTTGTACAGCCTGGCTGCCGCAGCCAAGACTGCCACACGAAGGCTGCACAGCTCCCACCTACATCGACTGCTGAAGAGAGAACAGGCACGTCGGATTACATCAACTTACTGGTCACGCAAAATATCTCCGTCCTGGTTAGGGTAGAACGCGAGTTTGAAGATACGATTCATCACGCTGCGTTCTATAGCCAGTTGTGCGTCCTGAAGCTGTTCTTCGCTGGCGTTCTGCCATATGGCATCCTGCGCCATCGCCCCGTACAGGAACTGAAGAAAGTCCTCAACTTGGGCTGTTTTATCATCTGCTGCTGTGAGCTTCTGGAAATCTGATAAGAAGTAAAAAGAGAGAACGTTCAGTTACGTAAAAAGCATTCTTTCTAACAGGTTTTTCTGGGAAGAACCACCCAGCACTTCAAACCTCCTGCCAGGCAGCACTGAGGCTCCGTTTTGCCCACACCCCAGTAAGGGAAACACAAGCAGGAATGCTGGAAATAAATGGAGGAATTAAAGGAAAAACATCTAGAACACATTTAGCCATGCAGATGGTCAAACTACTCTCCTCGATACTGTGTCAGTCGACTCCTCTGCAGCACCAGCTCTTACACCTTCTCCCCTGCCACCCACTGGGAAAACACCCAGAACTGTCACTAGAACCAGCCTGCAGGAACCGCCACACGGGAGGCTGTCGGATGCTGAAAGTGGGGGGCACAGGGGAAGATACGAGGAAAACCCATGTGTACCATTACCCACCCCCACCTTTAAGCATGCCCAGCTGCACCACTCGTATTGATCTCCAACACCCAGGGCGAGTGACACACCTCGGCCAGGTCAGGGGCCGTTCGTCGGCTCCGTACGCACAGCGCTCTGCGCCAGAAGACAGCCGCCCCTCGCGTCTGCCGGCAGCCTCAGCGCCACAGCTGCCAACTCCTCTTTTTGGGTATCCAGAAATAGCTGTCTCCTTTCAGTCCCATGAAAGGGCTTTAACTCCTTCCTGGATCACTCAATCTTATTACCAGAACTTTAATCCCACTACATGCAAGTTCTCTTCTTAATTCCAGCCTGTTCAGGCCCATTTAACAGGCAGCACTGTGTGCTCTGGGAGCAAGGACTGACTCCAAATTTCTTCTGCCCTTCATTAAGTCAGGCGTGTGCACAGAGAAGAGGGGAAGAGTTTGTTCCACTGTCTCTGCTTAAGAGAGCTGTCTTCCTGGTGTCGTTATCCCTTATGCTACGGTATTTTTGAATCTCTATCACTGCTATTCCCCTATCTTATAAGGTGCCACAGGTTCTGTACTGAGGACTGAATGCTGCAACTTAATTTATCACTTATCAGTATCTAAAACAACTAACAGTATCCATGCTTCTTCCACGGGGCAGATATTATCTAATATGATTTAGTGTAACTTTTTAGGCCAAGTGAGGTCAAATCACCTTCATGCTCTTAGCCCGTGAAAAATGCAGACAGTTACCATGGCTTAGCTGCCACAACTCACAGTTCAGCGTCAGTAATCTGTCTATTTGAGCCACTAATTCACCAGCTAAAACAAACGCCATTTTAGGAATCTGCTCCTCAGATGAGAAGCTGTATTTTAAAACACCAACCTGAGCCAGCATCTAAATATGGAGTAAAGGAATATAAACATCCCACAGCCTGCATTAACCTTACCTTGAATAAACTCCCTTATTTTCTTCTCTTTGCTCTCCAGCAGTAACCTCACACACACCGTAGTGAAGTATCTGTTGGCCACTTCTTTATCCCGCAGAACTCTTTGCAGCAGCCGTTCCAAGTGTGCTTGTGTCGTCTGCAGGCCTTGGCGACATCGCGTTAAGTAAGCGATATACGGAGCCCTTTTCCTAAAATACAGAGCGCTCTACCTTAGAGTCACAACGAGGAGAGAGACTAATAGCTTTACAAACTGTGACGTTGTCGTGGGACAGGAATCTTCAACCTCCTGCTTACAGAGCAAAGCTAACACCTGAATTGGGAAATTCTGTCTTACAGATTTCCCGGAGGAATTCGCTGCCCCTGCAGCACTGCAGAACGCCAGACTAAAGCGATCCCAAACACAGCTCTTGTGCAGCAAAGCTGAACATTAGCTCGAGGTGATTTAACCTGAGTTTATTACTACCTGGGCTGACTCAAGGTCCAGGCTCTCTGGAGCCGCTCACAGAGAGGTGAGACAATTTCACTGTTTAGAGGGGAAGCAGAGGTGTGACCTGACCTGGTACAAGTTAAGCCAAAAGGGATCTTCCCAGACTGCTGGTGAATAAACAGATGCACTTGGAAACCCGCTAAGACGCTGAGCAAACTACCTATAGTCCTCGGCGATGGATGCCAGCAGCTTCCGACAGGTCCTGTTGTCGAAGCGGCTTACGCACCGCATTGTCTCTTGCAGCTGGGCCATCAGGTTCTTGTCTTGGAGGTTAATGGCTTCAGCTAGCTGAACTTTCAAGAAGCACACAATTTCGTTGTCTAATAAAGGACAAAGGAAAAATATTAAGGAAAAGAAATGTAGGCATGATGAAAATAAAACTGGTATTGAATATGGGAAACAGGTAACAGTTTAAAACAAAACCTCTGGACATCTGGCAATAAACTTTATTTTAAAAACAATTTAATAAGTCTTTTTGACTTTTCCAGATATCAAGGGGTAACTTTTGATACCGCTACCATATTCAGCACCATCCTGAAATGTGAAAAGGACCAGGTAGGGTGACAAACTCACCTAGAATGAACAGAGGGATGCAAACACAAGACACGCTCTAAGCCAACGCAAAGACTCCATAAATCGTTCCAGTTACTCTGTTAGCAGTGTAGCACAATGCCCAACAGCACCTGTATTTTGGGAGTCTATTCTACAGCTTCAGGCTCTGCCTGCACTATACCTGACACCTCATTACGAAAACATTAGACCAGATTTAGTTTGTAGATTTGTTTGTGGAGTAAGGAAGAAAGAAAATGCTGGGAGGGTCAAAAGACAGCCTCTGCCTTCTGTTCCTCCGCCAAGGAAGTTACCGTAAAGGTGCCACGAGATGGGGAAAGAGGTGGCACATACAATACAAAACCCTGTGCACAGAGGAGTTAGTTACCTTCAGGGTCTGTGTGATCTGGGAGACCATTCCTCGTTGAATGTGTCAGCATAGGGAAGGCAACAGAATCTGCTGAACAAAGAGCCAATCTCAGTTTCTTCTTTGCATCCCTTAAAGAGGAAAAATATTCTCTTAACAAAGTCACTGCAAGGTCTGCTCCTTCCATAAGCAGTCTGAGTTCTGTATTCTTTGATTTCTTCTTAATACTGAAATACTTTCTTTTTAAAGCTACTGGGCATAATTTTAACACACCAACATTGCCATGACTTTAGAATACCAGTCCTTCTCATCTAGCACCTAGCCCACTTGCAAAGGAATCCTCCTACACACCGCTCCACCCTCTCAGGTTACAATATCCCCCCTTCACCAGTGGCAAAACAACAGTTTGAGACACTTAAAAGCAAAAGCATGTAAAAGTTTCAGATTTTTGTGGGAACCAATCACATGGCTTTGGCTTTTAGTTCTACTTGGTGGGTAAGATTAAAACCGCAAACATATTTACCTATAGGAGAAGGCAGAACTTTGGGGCTGTGCAACTTGACTTGCAGAATCTGGGAGATCATCTGCAGACATGTTTTGCAAAGCCTCGTCACGTGGCGAGTCATGCACACTCTCACCATCCCCCATGGTCTCTATGGAAATGGAAAAGAAAACAACATTACGCTCAAAGAGAGGAGTCAGAAGAAACCAGACTAAGGGTCTCTAGTTTCTTGTTATTCTAAGATCGGGGGGATGGAGACAGCCAATGAAACAACTTGTTCTGAATAAGTGGAAAAAGTGTATTAAAAATATACAAGTCACTAAGAAGAAGTTGCATCCGTTTTGGAAGGCAATATACTGCCTCAGTATCCATTAACACCCAAGAAAACGGGTAAGAGATGTGCCTTTAACAACCAACCACCTCAATGGCAATAGGATAGAGCTGTCCTTGGGGATACAGGTTTGGCTCCCAGTCTCCAGGGACCGTCCCACAGGTTATTTGACAAAATGTTCGGGTTTAGGGCTTGCACCATTCAGCTGTCAGCACCAACGTCAGTTGAGAATTCTGAAGTGTTTTTATCTTTAAGGAGGAGAAACTATGTTGGTGATGGTAAGAGCCAGGTTCTCACCTGCACTGTCATAGTTTACTATAGCTCCTTCACTAGGACTGGTTCGCTTAATTGCATTCCTGTATTTGTCCAGGATATCCTCGGCAGCTTGCGCCTGCGCGCTGAGCCTTGGGCTGGGATCGTCTGAAAAGACCGTTAAAAACAACAGGAGTTAACCTTGTGTTGTGCCAACTGAGAGCAAACACAGAAATTCAGACCTACACATCTGGACTCTGGCTCTAGGCACATCAACCAAGCAGCTGCTTGTGTTCCATGCAGACACAATTCAGATACACTTAGAAAGCCTGAACCAAAAGCAGGGGGAAAACCCAGCACAATGAACGTGAACAAGTAACCAGACCCTTAGCATATTTATACTGTGTGCACAAATGGTTCTTGCATACTTGAGGGCTTCTAGAAACAATCAAGCAAACAGAAAAACTAAACACCCAGGTTCAAGCCACGTTGAATTTAGCACTTAAGTAATTATTACAGGAATGTGTCCACAGCTATCCTTGCAGCTCAGCTACAATAAGGACACGAGCTTTATAATAGGGGGTGGGGGGAAGCAAAGACTGCAGTAGAGAATCCAGTACTACATGCTGACAGAAGCACGACAATGTGAAACCAGTTTTCAAGGCACAAAGTCTTTATGCAGTTTCTTATTCAGAAAGCCAGTGGTGCACGCTAACCACAGGAGCGGATCCCCTGCTCTACAGACACCTGGTGGGTACTCTGGAACTCCAGAGGGCATGTCATGAGAGAAATGGACGATGATGACACGATTCACGTACCTTGAAGTGTTGAGTATCTGTCAGGCACCATGTCATCTTTGTCTTTGTCTTGTTTTTCTTTCTTTCTAAATGGAATAGGAGCTGAAAATGCAAGTACCTTATCAAAGGCTATTCCGAGACAATGGCCAAACTGAGGAAACTTTAAAAAGTGGCTAGCAAAGACATTTGTCATCAAATAAACATCAATAAAAGCATAGGCCTATCTATGAGGTGGAGCAGAACTGCACTGACATCATACGTAGCAAGCCCTACCTTTAACAGACATGGTACCATGAGCCAGGCTGTGCAGTGTTGCCTTCCAGGTACAGCCTAGGCAATTCCTAGCCAAGAGAGTCAGGTAGCTTCCCTTTTTATTCACGTACTTATCTATACTGTAGCTTAGCCAATGCTGGTCATAATGACATGAGTCTTTCCTGGCAACATCTCCCCACGAGTAAGTTCAGGGAGAAGATGCAAAGACAGCACGTTGTGAAACAGGAAAGCAAACAAAGCGATGTTAGAACATTGTACCATTAGCTAAAGTCACACAGAGCCTGCAAGGATTGCACTGGTTCTTTTCCAACGGAAAGGCTGTTTTAAGAGGCAAGGATATCTAATATTGCACCTTGTTCCATCCCCAGTTGTCACCGTTCACACCATGAAAGCCAAGCAGTATCTTGAGCGAGCTTTACTTTGTAAACAGCCCAAGTCTGATTTCCACTCATGCTGTTACAGGGGATAGCCCAAGCCATCAACCCCCTCCAGCTCGCACGCTGCCATCCGTCAGGTGAAGTCCTCAGGGAAGCTAAACTGGAGTTAACACCATACAGCTACAAAATGACTGGCCTCCCATAGGGATGCCAAGGTTACCGAATGATTAAGATACAACAACACCTAAGCAAACTCCTTTCAGCTCACACACCTCTCCATAGGTGCTGCACCCTTTGTATTGCAGTAATTCTCTTTTTACTGCAACACTTGCAATTCTGTAAGTAAGAAATCTTTATTTCTCCAAATTAAGCAGGACAGCTGTAACTCTGGAACAGATCTATGTCGCTCTGGTCAGCTTCCCAAGAGGAACTGTAAAAGCTTTCTGTAGAAGGGACTGAAGAGCCAGCAAAGGCTGCACGCACTCTTACTGAAGTGCCAAAGCCAGACGGACGGGGTCCTACCTTTGGGCATGGCAGACACAAAGCGCTTCCGCCACCAGGGCTTGTTTCGGTCAGACTTCTCATCGTCACTGTCTTTTCGTTCTTCGATCTGCAGAAGGGCAGAGTTTACCTCTGAGCACCTACCGCGCCAAGCGTAAAGACAGAGCTCTTCCCTGACATCAGGCTATGCTACACGGACTGTAAGTTAGAAATATCCCTCCTGTGGAGGGCTGTCTATAAATGCAAAGCCAAAGACATGAAGAAACTCAGGTTTCACTTATTTTTTAAAGAAAATGACTTTTCAGGATGCTGCAGCATTTCAAATTTAAACACTACAACAAATTATACCTGAAATCCCACCAAACCCAGTGAGGCTCATCCAGTAAATTTAAGAAAAGGCGGATTCATTAAGCCATTCTCAGAATCTGTGGGATTAGCCTGTAAAACACTGTTGGACAACATTCAGAGGTAACAAAGCGCATCGCCATTCCCTGGCTAAACACGTTAATTCCAGTGTTCTGCCATCAGATGCATAATTAGAGCGGGCACGCTAGAAAAGAATGAGCTGACAAATAACAGGCTTACCTCTCCCCTAGAGGAGTCTTTACTGGGAGACGAAGACGATGACTGAGATGCAGCCACCAGAACAGCCGCTCCAGTGTTGGAGGTTGGCATTGGAAGCTCCCTCTCCTCATTACCGGGACGTCTGTTCCACCCAGGATCACTCATAGGTCTCCGAACGGATGATACTATATCCGAGCTCCTGCTGCGGACTAGCCTCTCCGGGTAAGAATGCCTCTGCTTGAATGCTTCTAAATCAGTTGGAATTAAAGCGTGAGACCCAAAGTTTGGTAATCGGGCCTCGTTACCTCCCATAGCTCCTTCCAAGATGGGTGGATCCGGTGGTGGATGAGAGGGTCTTGCATAGTGCACTTTAGGCCTTACTACAGCTGATACACCTGAGGTCATAAGCACAGAAGAAACCACACACGTTCCTCTTAAGTGCTTCCAAATTAGCTGGTACGAACACAGAAGCATTAAGAAATGCCTGGGTTTTTCTAAAAAGCTTAGTCTTTACAACTCACCCTCGTTTGATGACAGGGGGTCAAACAATGCCAGCAAAGAATCCGTCTGAGAAGGGGGAGATGTCAACTGACTGGCTCCTGAAACACAGGGGAGAAGAGTTAGCGCTGTACCAAGAACTGCCTTCAACACAAGGCCACCGGAAAACTGCCCTTGGCAACAGCATCTTACAAAAAACTTATCTGGCAGAATATTTTTAAAGATATTCTCATGTGGAAAAAAGATCTCTGTAGGATGCTGAAACGGCCAAAGAAGTACATCACAAAAAGTGGGGAAATCTTGAGGGACAAACCAGTTCCAAAGTGCAAGAGGACAGTCAGTGTAACCAAACTGGGAAAAGGGGACCTTAGATCCAGTACTCAAGCTCGATCACTATAAGGTACTGGAGTCTTTGTCCAACAGGCAGTGCTGGCAAATCAGGAAAATGCTAGGCTTAGCCACCAGAACTCTGAAATTGGGAAAAATTGTGAAATTTAAGGATTCTACAAATGTCATTATGTGCAAAACCTCAGCTATGAGAGATTCTAATTCCTGTTCACAGGTAACTAACTGGCTTACCATGGGCTGTTTCATCCATGTCAGGACTTGTCACAGAATCTTTTCCCCCAAAGTCGGAGCTACATTCGGACCGGAGATCCTCAATCTTATTAGGAATATCTTCAGATGTTGCACTAATACCTTACACATAAAAAAATAAGGATCTGTAATAGTCTTTCAGAGGAAAAGGAAGCAAAATCCCAAAGCTGTTAAAATGTGTGGTGAACGCTGCAATAATCAAATCCTAACGCACAGCAGCACCCAGAGACATTCCGAGTTTCTATACTCCTAAAATAACACTTCATTTCTGGTCTACATCAACTGTTTAGCATAGACATGAATACACTGACAAAGGAAGTTAGAAAGATGCTTCACCCTGCTAAATATTTCACAGAAAACTAACAACTGAAGTGGAAATACGCTGCTTTACTTAAAAAGGTTGCGATAATTAACTAACTGCAAGAAAATTAGGAGTTTCTTCCAAATCCACACCACTGCTAGTGTAGCCGAGTATTCAACACACTGATGCCTTTTTTATTGCTCTGTAAGATGAGCAAAGAATTGCTGCTTTCAAAATTCCGGAATGAGTGCAAAGCGCTGTTCTGCGAGCGGAGTGACGCGTAAAGAAAGCAAGTGCAGCAAAGTGGATGCTGATGGCGCTCTCATGCGGCAGCGTGTTGGCAGAGACCACTGAACACACCTGATACAACGCTGAGGCCTGGTGTACTGGGTCGAGAACTGACCTCCCTCACATCTGTGTCGTCAGAGGTGCTACCCAGCCCAGAACAGCTTTCCAGTTCCTGGAGTCTTTCCTCCTGTTTTAAGTCTGGGGCCTCTACACAAGTGAGACAAGGGAGGGTAGAGAGAAAAAGCATCATTACTCAATGCCACGTTCCCTTAAAATTCACATACAGAGGGCAGGGGAGTACGTGCTGGTTTAGTATATTAAAGTTCTAAGCCAACTCAACCACTTCAGCAAGAGTTGTCTCCCTGTGCAGGAGGCAGGACTCTGCACAGATCGCAATGCTCTGTCTGCAGGGGCGTCCCGAGAAGTTTTTACTGGTTTAAGCACCGTATTTCTGAGACCCAACAGGACACAGTCAAACCTTCATTAACCAAAGCAACCTGTGATCACAGGCAGTCCTACTTAACACCACAGGGAAAGAAATAGGAGCTTCCTTTGCAATCCTTTCTCTCCCTTTTTGGTCCTTATGAATTTCTTAAGTAACAGGCAGTCCCTCACAGTGCTTTCCATCTTCTCTCTGCCTAGGAACAGTTTGTCTTTTTAATCCTGGAAGTATTCACAAACACTAACTTAACCCTAGGACAGTAGTTTCCCAAAGAAAGAGAGAGAAAGAGGCTGTGGCTTTGCGTTGGATGCCTCTGGAAGAGTCTTGATTGATGCTAAATAAACACAAACTGCACAGTTCTGACCTGAATCGCTTGGCAATACTTCCACGCTCCACGCCTCACTTGTGGTTTCTGATATGGTTGAACCTGTGCAGGGATCAAGCAACAAGGATCCTGAACCTGGTAAACACAGCAAGCTGCCTAGCATGTTCTCTGCAGCCGCACCTGCAAAAGTAAAGCCGAAGCGTATAGCTAGACATCGGCTGCCTGGAGACAGCTCTAACGAGAGAGAACAGTAAGAACACATTTTAAGTGTCCTTAATAAACAGTCAGGGAAGACAATGTTGAAAAGACAGAAATGAGCAACCAAATACAATACAGGTCATGCCCACAAACTCCTCCTACAGAAAAGATCCAGTTTAACCAATGGAACACACCCATTTAGAAGAAGAGGAGGGCTCAGCCCCCACTCTTTGAGGGCAAGGATGAAGCATTTGAACACCCCAGATGAGCACCGAGTTACCTGCTATTTCTTGCAAACGGTCTTCATCAATGTTAGGATCGAAGTCACTTCCCAAGACATCTGTACTCCAGGTTTCACTCACAGTTTCCGATATATCTCTGTCATCAGTCAATCCCATCATGTCACGGATTTCAAATTTACGGAGCTTGTCATCAAGATTATCCTGAGTTGTGGCTATGTGAAAATAAAAGGGTTCCATTTTTTTAAAAGGTTTCCCCAATTACTTCTGACTGAAAATAGGGAGAAAAAACAAACACACAAACAAAACCACCTCCTAATTCTGTCAGTTAAGACTGTGTTTTAAGTCAGGCCTGTAAAGCACTATTATACTATTCAAAAGAGGCTGCCAGAAAATAACTTCTAAGCACATGTGAGACGTAAGGAAAATCCTAAGCTACACATGGTGATCCATCAACCAAACCAACAGACAAAATGAATAATGTTCAGCACGCTATCACGAAACTGATACAGTTCCTGTCAGAAGATTATTGTGGAAAAGCTGAGGCCTCATTCAAGCCCAAACCCCCTGCTCAAAACAGGATCAATTAGAGCAGGTTGCTCACGGTCACGTCTAGTCACACTGAGTATCTCCGAGGTTGAGACACCACAACCCCTTTGGGCAACCTGTTCCAGCACCTGACGAATACGTACCAAGCAGGCAGCTGGCCAGATGCTTTCAGACTACTCCAATCCCCGATTCCCCAAAGGATAAAGTTGGTATGGAGCAAAACCTTATGAGCAGTTTGTGCTGGTTTTAGTTGGGACAGAGTTAAACAAACATTAAAACTGTTCTTATCTCAACCCACAAATTCTCTTATCTTTTTCCTCTGATTCTCTCCCCCGTCCCACTTGAGGAGGGGCAGGCGAGCGAGCGTCTGCATGGTGTTTGGTTGCTGGCTGGGGCTGAACCATGACACAGTCCTTAATTAAGGACTTAAGGCTCAAAATCCCACGCAGTTTCCTTTTCCTAACAATGGACTGCAAGAAATATTTCTAGAGGAAAAAATAAACAAACCAACCAACCCATAAACGTATGCAAGACCAACTGCACAAGGAAAAAACTTTCACTTATTTTTCCTGAACTAGTCAGTTTTTCAGCCTTTTTCCACAGAAGAGTGGCTCTGCCATCCCCAGCACCTCAGGCACTTGGAGCAGAGAACTGGCACCTGCCTTGTTCATGCTCCAGCAGCTGCAGAGCTTCAACTCCATTGCTCCCAGAGGGGCCCGCGCCCAGCTCCGACACAGACTCCCCTTCTAAATCCAAAGATGACACAGAGTTGGAGCGATTTGAAGGGCCTGTGAAAACAGATTTTACCGTAAATTTAATCTGAATTACAGTTCCTAAGTATACAGCAATAACGATCCAGGACACAATTAACTAGAGATGAAAAGAAACGAAGCAGCACTTCAAATGAACCCGGGAGTTCATGAACTAAAGGTACGTTTGCTCTGCTCTAGATCCCTCTGCTACAGGCACTTAACCCGCACTGTGACTGCACTTCCCATGTTTAGGGGACCATACTAATTACGATAATTGACAAACGCATTACCAGAAATGGCTGGAGTCACACCGTTACTGTCCTTAACTGCAACTAAAATGGCAACAGTCTTTGCCATTAATTTGTTTACTTGTCCATGAATTTGTTTTCTTATTTTGAGGAGAGCGAGCAAAAATTGAATTATGGGTGTTACAAGAAATAAAGGATGCTGCGTGTTCTGTCCAAACCTCTCACCACCACAAATAAACCTGCCCTTTGTTGTGCCTGAGGCTTGTATAACAGAGCTGTCCAGAGTCCAGCAGTTATTCCCAGATATGTAACAGCTTATTAAAACATGATGAAAAATAAGTCTGAGAAGTCTGGGTTTGGAGCTAAGTTTCATTTTATTAATAATTAGCACTGCACTTGAGTTTAAAAGAAAAAAAATCCCTTTGTTTTCTCTCTCTAAGTACACTCAGGTTTTTTTTATTCCTAGTTCTCAGACTCGGTTATGCCTTTGCAGGTCAAAATTTAGTTCCAGACTTCCCTCTGAACAGCTAAGAGACTGGCTCTCAGGGTAAAATACCAAGCACAGCCTCCAAAATGGCAAAGACAATGGGCGGCACTAAACGGAAGTTCCTTTTATAGTTAAGGGGAAAAAAACCCAAAAACCCCCCAAACAGAAAAGGGACAAAACTTCTTCAAGACTTAAGCAGCCCTTCACCTTCAGATATTCCTTCCAGATTATCACTGCAGAGGGAAAAGCGCAAGGTTTTATCAGGTTTACCATGGAGTTTGTTTTCATCGACGGGGACATCTCCTTGTCCGCCATCTGCAAGCTGCATGTTTAACACCTGGAGAGGAAGGGAAACAAACAACACTTCCTTTAAATAATCTATTTTTCAGATAATTAAGCAGTACACAAAACACTGCACGTATTTTTTGCATTTTTTTCCCCCTCTAGATGTTAATAGCCCAATCCAATTTCTAACACTCCATCTGAAAAGAAGACAGCTATCTCCAAAGTCAGAGCCTGGAGAGGACGCAAGGTAACAGAGATGTGAACATGAGGCAAGTCCTGATACTAACGGAGCCGCCAGCTCCCTCGTCAGCCCAGGAGACTGACACAATACGGAAACTGGTCGTTACGAGTCTGCAGGAGGAGATAATCTACACTATCCGGCGAGGCAGCAAGGATGAAGGCAGGAGCTGTGCTACGGCTGGTGAAAGAAAAGGCGGCAAAACCAGCCTCACCCCAAGCACCACCGGCTGAAGGCTTTCGTGGCAACCTGACCGCGGCTCCACCCTCACAAGAAGCTGGGCCTGTGCATTTCCAGCCTGAGCTGCCAAAAACGTCAGGACCAGTGTCCCAGTTCTGTCATCCACCTGTGCCACCTGACCCAAGGACAGGGCATACAGAGAGACAACTGAATCACCATCTTCAGGCTCAGCAGCAACAGCCCAAGCTTGCCGTAAGCACGGCAGATGACACAGCCTAAATCTGCCAGGTCCATTTCTCCTGTGTTCGTATACGGCTTTTCACACCCTGCAGATGCACTGAGCGAGGGAAAAAACAGCTAACAAGGGGCAACTTGAATGCTACAACCCTAAGTTCTCTTAAAGGAAGAAAGGATTTTGATTCCCATTCCCTATTCATTACCTGAACTCAGCGTCACAACCTCGCTGTTTGCCATCAGGGAACGCAGAAGCCGTACGTCTCAAAGCACCCGAGGCGTGACAGTTTTCACATACCTCATTTTCTGACATCATTCCTGGAGTAATCTGTGGACCCGTCCCCAAAGAAATCACCAGCACTTCCTCCGGCTGAACTTCTGGGATGGTCTCCTGGGAGGATCCTTCATGATCTCCATGCTGATCCGTAAGAATATTCGATCTACTTCTGCTACGAGTTGCTAAGAGAATATTTTGAAATGGCAACATTAGAGAGCTTTTCCTTGGTTTAGGAGGAAAAAAAGACAATGCAATGGAAACACAGAATGGCAATGTTTTGAATTAAAAATACACACACTAAATAAACTTAAAAAAAGAAAACTCATGAGGCTCAGATGAAGCCAGTGTTTAAATCTGAGTACTGAACTGTGAGAAGGCGAGCGTGCAACACAAGTGGAGAGAGACAAGGTACACTATGCCCTGCCTGCCTACGCAAATTCGGTGTGTTCCAATCACAGAAAGACCCTTACCAAACGAGTCAGAAAATGATGAAGTTCGCTACCAACAAGAAAGGGTCTAGGTTCCGGCGGTTTACAACCCTGCTTAATTAAATTAATGTCAAGGTTTTTTCCTCCCAGGGAGCAGGGAAATCTTGTTCTAACAGGTGTCACAAGCCCAAACAAAATCCAACACCAGGTTTACTTTCATGACTTTGTGACTCTACCAGTCTTTTCCTCACATTCCCACGCTGGGCACCGTGGAAGGAAAAACGCCCACACGGAATTAAGATTTCTAAGTATGGCAGCACGACGCCAGTTATTTCTTCACTCGATCCAGGGAAAACAAGGCAAGTGTGTGAAGCCACAGCCAAATTCCGACCGTCACACGGAGGCACACGAGGTGGTTTTAAGAACGACACGTACATAGGAAATGAGTTTCATACAGCAATCGATGGAGATCTGAAAAAGCAACTGACTGCCAGAGTGAAGCAGAGGCACGCGCGAGTCGTGTCAGAAACCAAAGGTCACAGAGAAGAAGGGAAAAAAAAAAACCAAAAGGGGTTACTAGAGTTATGTGAGCAGAAAGATTGGTAGCAGAAGTATCCCAGGCAGTAATGGCTGCCAACTGCTGTCCTGGATTTCGGAAGCATTAAAATGAAACAAAAGAAATAAAAAACTTGAGCAAAAATTATTTTATACCATAAAATAAATGCTGTTGTGCCACTACAGTATAGGCATAAGGCCCGAGCCATGCAGCAGTCATTAGAACAACCTGGGGTAGGTTTGTTTTGGGGTTGGTTTTCTGGGTTTTTTTGCCACTAATTGGGCTCTACATATCTTCATCCTGTTACACACTAACACCAAATCCCTCAAACAAAAATATCCCGCGTGGGATTTACTCATGTAAATACACACTGAGGAGGAGCACCACACTTCCTGTTTTGAGAGAAAATGTTAACGGAACGGAAAAGTTCAAGAGTCAGAAATCCTATTCAAAGAGGACAAAAACCCAAACATACATAAAATTGCGCTACAATACACAAACAACTGGAATTAGACCAGGCAAATAATGGAGAAAGAAGAAAGTTTCTCTTCTCAGCACATATTCCAAAAGTTCTGCTCTTGCCTTTTCGTCCTCCTCCTCCACATTTGCTCTCATCGGAGACAGAAAAATTTTAACTTATTCTGTCCCACTAACTAACTGTCCTCACTTCCACTTTACCACTTTCCTACGGGATCTTCCCTCCTAGATCTGCTCCCCACCTTCACACCCGCCCTTTATTCCCACTGCACTGGCCTGACTACCAACTGCCCCAGCATTTTTCTCAAGCTCAGACCAGAGGGACGAGGCTCACCACACCTGCATCAGACAGCAAGGAAGTTACCTGGCTCTCTGTGCAAACAAAAATTAACCATCGACACGGAAAAAGTAGGAACTGAAGGTGTAGTCAAAGAGTAACCCCAAGAGATGGCTGCAAAACCGGCAGAGAGAATGTCTCAAGGCACCAAAACCGCACGGGAGGCCCGTCTGCGCTCCTTACCGATGGGCAATCGGTTTTTTTTGTTAGCTGGCGTAGTTGCAGGAGAAAGCTGTGGGGTATTGTACGGCGTCATTTCAAGGCTGCTGCTTTTCCCTGGTTTGTTCTGGGGTAGGTTTGCCAGCAAGTTTTCCAACGCCATCCGATCTTCTTTCAGCTGATCGCTTGACATAACATTCCGCATAAAGGCAACCTAAAAATTTAGAATTAGCGCGTTAAGAACCGCAGCATGAGCTACCGGCCGCGTTTACCCTCTCTACAAACACTGGGGTACGGGGTTATACCACTGCTTCCTAAGGAATTCAGGTATTACCAGGGCAGTTAGCTGGCTGTACGTCATGTAAACCACCGTTCTACTCAACCCCTCCAGGAGGTTGACAGAAGACATCGGGGGAGTTTCGACTGCACGCCCGTCAATGACTACATCGAGGAAAGCAGCCACGCAACTCTGTGAAGAGAAGGAGCAGTTTTTAAATGAGAGACCATTTACTAGAGTCCGGAAAGAACACGGCACGACAAGAGTTAAATAGTTTACATAACAATACAAGTTTTGCTTCCTACTTTTAAATAAAAAAACACATCACTGAAATCGCTGAAGCGCAAGCAAGGAAAGCATATCAGTTCCTTTTCTGCATTCCCAAGTGTTACTTACTGAAGTGTCTTCTTACAATTTAAAAAGAAAATTAAACTGGTTTGTGGCAATTAAACTGCCCTTTCCTGAAGGATCTGCGGAGCACAGACTAAAAGTGAAACAAGGAAGCAGACAATATCACTTTCTGCCCCAGGTGAATGCCACTTGTACAACGAACAGGTCATTTTGTACGATGACTGCGTAACAAGTATAATTGGCAAAAACTAGGACGTCACACAAGCAAATCAGTTTTTTAAACATAGGCAAATACATTAAAGATCATTAGTTTCACTGTTCCTCTGATGAAGGTAATTTCAGTATTGCTAAGGATGATTCATACTAACAAAGGAAAAGCTGAACAAAAAAGCAAAACTACACAAAAAAGGAACAGAAGTTACTTGCACTAACAAATCACTTGGTGTTAAACCAGATTTTGTGCAAAAGGTCTCTTCAGATCAAGTGTTTTCTTTAGGTTCAGTAGAGAAACCACATACAGTAATTCAGCAATCAGTTTAAAAGGTAACCTGCTTTTGTTTAATTCTGTGTTTTCTTTGCAGAAGTAGTATGTCAGAGCAGAAGCAAGAATCCCCAACCCTTCATTCTAGAACTCAAGACTTTGTTCCCAGCTTTGTGCAGGATTTAATCTTCTTTTCAGCACGTGTAACTTGAAGTTAACCGCCTAGTAAGCCTTTGGCAATGTCTGCGAAAAGAGACATCGAAGCACGAAGCAGACACACGAGTCTCAGCTTCTCTTGGTCTGGATTCTTACTTTGTCAAACTTGGCAAGGTTGCTCTTTGTACGCGGATCTCCCTCTTCAGAGCCCGTCATGGCCAACTGCTGCAGAAGTCTCCCAACCTGAAACAAAGAAGTATGAAGAATAAGCATTTCAAATCACCATGATGGACCCAATTATAAAAAATAGTTAAGAGAACTCCTCCACTCTAATTTTTTGTCATTTAACACCCTGAGAAATCCTCCTGATTGAGTGGCCAGAGTCTTTTAGGGTAGAAAAAACGCAAGAAGCTTCGGGGGGGG